GTGTGCGCATGCGTCCGTCTCTGTATGTGTGTTTTGGTGCGTGCGTGCGTGCGTCCGCGCGTATATATATAATTGTATTAATATATGCATAGGGACAGGGGAGAGAGAGAGAGAGAGAGAGAGAGAGAGAGAGAGAGAGAGAGAGAGAGAGAGAGAGAGAGAGAGAGAGAGAGAGAGAGAGAGAGAGAGTGAGTGTTAGGGGGAGGTAGGGGGGGTTGAGGTATGGCACCACGTGAGTGTTGCAGATCCTGCGGTATCGGCTTGCAATCCACACTAGACCAACCGCCGCTCGAACACGAAAAATCTTTTTCTTGCAAGAAAGGTGCAGGGTTTGTTCTATATTTATATATATTTCTAAATGGTGTTAAATATTGGTTCATATACTAGTTTTTACCATTAACAAATAATTAATTTATATATGTATTACTAGTGGACGTTGAAAGAAATCTAATATTGTCATTTCAGTTATGCGTACGAATGTATGGACTTGTCACAGAGATGGATAATATGTATAAATGCAGTAGACATTAAACATTAAATAGCGATAAAGTAAGAAGACGTCTATTTACACACCCCTGTGCTTATGATACACACACACACACACACACAGCACGCGCACGCGCACACAACGCACCCCCCCCACACTCACACATGCACACTCACTCACTCACTCACTCACTCACTCACTCACTCATCACACACACACACACACACACACACACACACACACACACACACACACACACACACACACACACACACACACACACACACACACACACACACACACACACACACACAAACAAACAAACAAACAAACATACATTTACTTTCACATATACTCACATCATAGGCTATATTTAGCTCGTGTCTCCGACTCGGGCAAACGCACCCACTCCCAAGAACTACGCGTTGTGTTAGGCGCAAGGGATCCTGCTGTTTCTTATTTTAAAATGATTTAGGATTTATGATATCAAACGTTTTTTTTTCTCCATTCGACATGAGGATGAGGTGAAATGTGCATTTGGAAAAGGTGTCGTTGGGCGTCGATCCCTGAAAAGAGTTAAAAATACTGACTGGGAAACCTGGATATTGAGTTCCGTAATGAATGGAAGGAACAGTAGTCTTTGGGAGGCGGGGGTTTGTATTTTCGTTTTTGTAGTAAACCGGAACTGTTTGAGGGCGGGTCCGTAAGCACATGGTAATAGACCGCAACAGAATACAGACATTCGCAGTTCGAGTAATTTTGGCAAGCAACCCGATAGAGTTTCTGACAAATGGACTTGTGTTTTTAAATTCTCTTTTCCAATGATGATAGTTTATATAACATTGGCTCTCATGAAAAGACAGCGAATAAGTGTGTCAGAGGTGCCAAAAGGACAAGAGTTGCAACCTCCAACCACGTGCCAACCCTGACCACCCGACCTTGGAGGGCGCTGTTGCCACTTCCACGTGAAGCATCCTAAGCCCTTTTACCTTATCTTGCTCTCGAGATTAATATTCCCTTTCTTTTTTATTCTACCTGCTTCATTATAATCTACATTTGATATGGACTGACACAACTGTTTGAAAAGGACGAAATGAATAGCGCACTTGGGCGGGTGCCTGAACGTTGTTGTGCCGTAAACACTTCAATTTATAGGTCGTGTGTCTGTAAGTTGTTCTTGTCATATGCATGAACAATGATTATTTTGGTATTTGGTGATTACTCATTTGATTACGGGAAATTATTTATATAGACCGTACATAACATGAGACTTGGAAAACCTTAGCTGATTGTAATCTTACATGATACAGGGAGCGATGTCAACTCCATCACTATGCAAAGGCAATCTAGTAATCCTTGAATAATGTAATAAGAAGCTGTTGCAACATAACTAAAAGTCGCTACTATTGTTCTATGTACAAGGGTAAATTTTGTGTCAAAAACTAAGAATTTGTGCCTAAAGAAGCGAAATGTTTCTCATGAATTGAGTCAAATTTAATTACTGGTACGTGCCAGAAAACGTTCCCGAGACGCAGTTTCCCATGGTCGTTTTCTCTGATTTGTTTCTTCCTCCACAGGTATCCGTTACTCCTTAGACGTGTGCGCCGACGAAGTAAAGGCTTTGTCTGCCCTGATGACATTCAAGTGTTCCTGCGTAGACGTCCCCTTCGGCGGTGCCAAGGCTGGTCTCAAGATAAACCCCAGGGACTACTCCATCAATGAGCTGGAGAAGATCACCCGTCGATTCACTCTCGAGTTGGCCAAGAAGGGGTTCATTGGTCAGTATGAGATTTGAGGGAAGGGTTAGGTAATTATTTCAGGCTTTGGCGAGGAGGAGCTTGGTGTAGGATTTTGAAGGATGGAGAAGTAAGGGAGGGAGAAGCTAAGGGGAAAATAGGAAGGAACAAGTGTGCGTGAGGAAGCGAAAATGAAACCTTAAATACTCGAAGGACCAATGTCTTTTCTTTATAGGTAATATGATAAAGAAAACCTGTATATATAGAGATGGATGAAGGAGATAAGACAATTTTTTAATAGTCTTTTCATTTTGAGGAGTGATATTAATAGTTTTTCAGATGTACTCATTATGCAAGGTATAAGGCCTTTTTGAATAACATCATATGGAATGATTTGTTTATCCAAAGTTAGAAGTAAAGAAGATATATGGCATTGTACAAAACTTGATATTTTCTGTGTTCTACTTTTAAAGATAAGGTTAGGCTTGATGTGGGTAAATCAATTACTGAAGGGCATAGGTACAGAAATAGTATTTACAAATGTATAGTAGCACAAAATAATAAGGTATTTTCATATTTAGTTTGACATTGTTAGCAAAGTTCAGATAAGAGTTGTAGGAAAACTTTAAAAAGGTGTAGTATTCCATACCACACAGTGCATAGTTGTCTTAACTAAAGCTTGTGTGAATCAAGCATGGTTTTATATATACATACATACATATATATATATATATATATATATATATATATATATATATATATGTGTGTGTGTATTATATATGTATATGTATATATATATATATATATATATATATAATATATATATATGTATATATATATATATATATATATGTATACATATATATATGTATACATATATATAATATGTATACATATAAATATGTATACATATATATATATTATATATATGTATATACATATATATTGTGTAATACATATATATATTTATACCTTATATATACAGTTTATAGCATTTATATATATTTTATATATATTTATACTATTGATATATGTATGTATTATAGTATTTAATATGTTATATAATTATATATATGATTTTATATTATAGTATAGTATATTTAGTAGTGTAATCTACTATTATATTATAATAGTGTATTATATAAATATAGTGTTGTATAGATTATTAATATTAGTTAGTATTCGATGTATGTAGTATATATATATATTGTTCTTATATATAATATATATACAGTGTGTATATGATAAATACACAAACCAAACTAATCTATATATAATATTTATTTCTATATTAGTTATGAATTATAATATATATTGTATAGTATTTATCTAAGTTAATATAATAGTGTTATATTTGTGTCGTAGTCAATAGTATAGATGTAAGATTGGTTATGTACTATATTACATATATAAAGTTTAGATATAATTATAATATATATGAGTAAAGTTATAGTATGTATATAACAATGTATTGTATATGAATCGTATATCATATATATTTATATATAAATATATATAAATATTATATATAATATAATACTTATAAATAAATTATATCTTATACTTCAAATCTGCGATTAATCATCATTATATATTTTATTATCTAAATATTGATAAATTATTATATATAATTTATACATAATTACATACTTTTACATTGATATAAATATTTATACAATTATATAGATATATATCATATACTTAACACACAAAAATATATAAATATTATATACATAATAATTATTATTAAATAATAAAAATTATATACATGTACTATATATTATTAGAGATATAAAATTATAGAGATTATATTATATAATATTAACAATAATATCTATATATAATATTATATAATCTAATCTATATAATATAAAATATACAATATATATATACTATAAGAACATATATTATATTATGTACTGAGCACAATATGTATTATATTGATATCATATATATTAGTTTATATATATAATACATATTATATATATATATATATAATATATAATTATATATATATAACTAATATTATATAATATTCATAATAATATTAAATATATTATATACCTATATATATATTTATGATAATATCTATATGATATATTATATATAGTTAATATATTTTATAATATATGTTTATTAATATATTATATATCCTATATATAATAATATTTTAATATATATATTAAGTAATTATATATTGTATATATATTTATGTTTGTAATATGTCATATATACGCTATTATATAGTTATAATATTATATATGTATATCAATAATATACATATATCATATTATATAATATATTATATATTTATATGTAGTGATATATATATTACTATATATATATATATACTATAATAATATATAATTTATTATATATTATGATTGTATTATAAATATTGTATATGTATATGTAATATGTAATGTATATATTATATGATAATAATATATGTTATATTATATCTGATTATATATTTGTATGTATGTATTGATGTTATAATATTATATATAATTATTTAAATATTAATTTATATTATATAATATAATATAAACAATCATACATACATACTTATACATATATATACATATATATTAATATACTATTAATTATATTATATATTTAATATATACATATTATATCACATTACATCTTAACTAAATATACTCAATATTATTAATTAGTATATATATATATATACAACATATGATTTATTTATAACACACACCACGATTATAATAATGAATTATATATATATATATAATAATACTATTATATTT